CCTTCTTGGACTGCCTTCTTCCCCACAAGCAGGTCTTCATTGGAGCACCTCCATCCCTGTCCTATTCCTCCCAAGCTGGGGCACTCTGGCCACTCATTCTCAGCTTCCCCCAGGGACCTGGGGCTCTGGCCATCCCAGACTCATCAGTATCCTCCACCTCTGTGAGCTCCCATTTCCTTTTCTCCTCCCTCCTCCTGAGCCAGTCTGCCTGTGTTGTTGTTGTTGTTCAGTTACTCAGTTGTGTCCGACTCTTTGCGACACCATGGACTGCAGCACGCCAGGCTTCCTTGTCCTTCACCAATTCCTGGAGCTTTCTCAAACTCATGTCTGTTGAGCCAGTGATGCCATCCAACCATCTCATCCTTTGTCAGCCCCTTCTCCTCCTGCCCTCAATCTTTCCCAGCATCAGGGTCTTTTCCAATGAGTCAGATCTTCGTATCAGGTGGCCAAAGTATTGGAGCTTCAGCTTTAGCATCAGTTCTTCCAATGAATATTCAGGATTGATTTCCTTCAGGATGGACTAGTTGGATCTCCTTGTAGTCCAGGGGACTCTCAAGAGTCTTCTCCAACACCACAGTTCAAAAGCATCAATTCTTCAGTTCTCAGCCTTCTTTACATCCAACTCTCACATCCATACACGACTACTGTAAAAACATAGCTTTGACTATACAGACTTTTGTCAGCAATGTAATGTCTCTGCTTTTTAATATGCTGTCTATGTTTGTCATAGCTTTTCTTCCAAGGAGCAAGCGTCTTTTAATTTCATGACTGTGTTAATGTTTCCCAATCTAGTTTCCAGCCCAGATTTCCAGGGCAAATAATGTACTAATATACCCACCTGTATTTATAATGGAACCTGAAATTTCTACCTGTCAAAGAGTGAATTCCTCCTCTTTCCTCTAAATATCATCTATTTCATGTAATTCTCACCACAGTGAATGTCCCAACCCATCCCATGGTGCAACCAGAAACCTTGGACTTATTCTGTATTTCTCTCTCCCTCTCACCTCAACCGTCAAACAGTAAAACAACTAGCTGAGTCTCCTCTCCCTCTGATATATTCTTAAGGCTAGTTCCCTCCTTTCTCAGCCCCCACTTCTGCCTCAGTTTGAATTCTGTTTGTCCCTGTGACGTATCAACCGCTCTGGAGCTGGTCTCAGCTCTTTGCAGCCTTTTGTCCTCAAAATTTTCCCCATGCTGTGGCAAGATTTACTTTTTAAAAACACAAACCCAATGACAGTATTCTTTTTATGGGATGAGACCATCTGCCTCTCTCTTTGTCTCCAGCCTTATTCCCACTACCCCAAAAGCCATTTTCTGTTCTGATCTGTCTACACTGCTTGCCAAAGGCTCTATTTCCTCTCGTACATTTCAATTCTTGTTTGCAGTATTGGCTTCTCAAAACGCTTTTCTCCTCTGCTCTGTTGAGTCTCCTACTCAACTATCAGTAAAGATTGGCACATATATCCACTCTTTTTCATAAAAAAAAAAAATAGTAACAACAAAAAAAGATGGCACAATTATTCCCTCTTTTTATGAGATTCCCTTGTTTTATTCCCCACTGCACCATCCCCTGCCTTGGGTTGAATGAGACATTTTCCTTCATGATTTAATACAATTCCCAGGCTTGTATATGTATCTCAGACTTACACACACACATGTATTATGTATGTATAATTTGGCATTTAAGATACTATAGTGGAATTAAAGATTTACTCATGTGCTCTCTCCCCTTGAGGGAAGAAATCTCGTTCACTTCATTTTTGTATTCTCCCAACACACAGCATGTACTTGATTTACAACTGTTCAGTTAATGAATGTATCCCCACAACACCCACCGAAGTCCTATATGCTGTAATATTTGCGAAAGTATTTCCTCAGTGATTGCTAACCCTAATTCATGACCTCTAAGACACCATCTTAAATTTCATGCACATAGACTGAGAGAATTGGGGGATTATATGAAGTATAATCTGCATATATATGTAGTCTTTAAAAAATTATTTATTTATTTATTTATTTATTTTTGGCTGTGCTGGGTCTGCATTGATGCATGTGGGCTTTTTCTAGTTGTGAGTGGGGGCTACTCTCTAGTTGTGCTGTGTGCATTTCTCATTGTGGTGGCTTCTCTTGTTGCAAAACAATGAGCTCTGGGTGCACAGGCTTCAGTAGTTGCAGCACATGAGCCCAGTAGTTGTGGTTTGTCAGCTCTAGAGCTCTTGGGCTTCAGTAGTTTTGTGCACAGGCTTAGTTGCCCCAAGCCATGTGGAATCTTCCCAGACCAAGGATCAAACCTGTGTGCCCTGCTTTAGCAGGAGGATTCTTAACCACTGGACCCAGGGAAGTCCCACAATATATATGTATATATATGACATATATGACATATATATATGACATATATGACAATATATATGACACTCTCCACTGTCTGAGTGAACCCTACCTGAATGTGACTAAGTTAGAGCTGGTCATCAATTCTTAGCCCTAAATCTTCTCTGTAACAACTTCCTGCTCTGCCCACACCATCAGCTGTGTTTCTGCCTCCCAAGCTACAATCATCCACTTATTTGATAAGTTACATGAAAAGAAACAACCAAGGCAAAAAGCAACAAAAAGCAACAACATTTGATTCTTAACTTGTGCCAAACACTTGAAGCACATGCCCTGAGCAGGCACATGCCTTGCTCAGCTCAAGAGCTGACTCATACAAATCAGTGAAGTTAGATCACTCCTTCACACCATACACAAAAATAAACTCAAAATGGCTTGAAGACTCAAATATAACACTTGACACTATAAAACTCCTTAAAGAGAGCATAGGCAAAACATTCTCTGACATAAATTGACCAATGTTTTCTTACGTCAGTCTCCCAAGGCAAGATAAATAAAAGGGAAAATAAACAAATGGGACCTAATCAAACTTAACAAGCTTTTGCACAGCAAAGGAAACCATAAACAAAACAAAAGACAATCTATGGGTTAGGAGAAAATATTTGCAAATGATGTGGCTGATGAGGGCTTAATTTCCAAAATGTACAAACAGCTCATACAACTCAATAACAAAAAAGCAAACAATGCAATAAAAAAATGGGCAGAAGATCTAGAGAGACATTTCTCCAAGGAAGACATACAGATGGCCAGTAGGCACATGAAAGGATGCTCAACATTGATAAGTATTATAGAAATGCAAGTCAAAACTACAGTGAGGTACCACCTTACACAGATCAGAATGGCCATCATTTAAAAGTCTACAAATAATAAATGCTGGAGGGAGTGTGGTGAAAAGGGAACCCTTCTACACTGTTGGTGGGAATGTAAATTGATGCAACCACTATGGAGAACAGTATGGAGGTTCCTCAAAATACTAAAAATTGAGTTACCATATGATTCAGCAACCCCACTCCTGGGCATATATCTGGACAAAAGTATAATTCAAAAAGACATAGGTACCCTTATGTCCGAAAAGATATATGAATCCATATGTTCATAGCCACACTATTTACAATTGTCATTACATGGAAACAACCTATGTCCATCGATAGATGAACGGATAAAGATGTGGTACACATACACAACGGAATACTACTTAACCACAAAAAAGAAAGAAATAATGCCATTTGCAGCAACCTGGATGGACCTAGAGATTATCACACTAAATGAAGTAAGTCAGAAAGAGAAAGACAAATACCATATGATCTCACTTAAATGGAGAATCTAAAATACGACACAAATGAACTTACCTTTGAAACAGAAACAGACTCAGACATAAGAGAACAGACTTAATGGTTGCCAAGTGGGAGAGCAGGGGAGGAGGGATGGGTTGGGAAGTTGGGATTAGCAGATGCAAACTATTATATATAGAATGGATAAACAACAAGGTCTAACTATACTGCACAGGGAACTACATTCAATATCCTAAGATAAACCATAATGGAAAATAACATGAAAAAATATATATATATACATGTATAACTGAATCACTTTATTGTAAAGTAGACATTAACACAACATTCTAAATCAACTATACTTCAATAAAATAAACTTGAAAAAATTAAAAAAAAAAGAAGAACTCAGAGGTGAGAGTGTTTGGAGAGAGAAGTTGTGGGCTGTAGCTGGCAGCCTTAGCAGAGGTGGGTTGTTCTGATACTATGAAATCAAATTATGGGGATTTGGGCTGTAAGCCCAGTGGTCAGGTGTTATCCCAGAAGCTCCCTTCACCAGCAGCCCCATGACACATCATCAGTAAGTTATGTCAGACAACCATGTTAGCAGTTCCCAGGACTCATTTCCCTCCTGATGACAGGAGCTCCTGCAGTGAAATCAGGGGTACTTTTCAAGTCACAGGTGGGGGTGACAAAACAGGAAAATGCATGCATCCTAGTTTTCCCATGCAGCTTTCTGAAGACTTCCACCCATACCTGAGGTATCTCAGCCACAAAAGTGCACAGAATTGACTGATACTGATCTTCTTACTCATTTCAGTAAGTGGTTAATTGCCTCAAGATGAGAGGACCAAAGACATGTTGCACTTTTAAGTCAGAAGGATGCTGAGAGATCATCTAACCCAAAAGCCTTATTTTAAAGCAAGATGCAGAAGCTGATGGGCACAGTGCAAAAGCCATCAGTCCAAGATCAGAGACTCTCAAATCCATGAGTACCTTCAGGAAGCCCTCCCTGGGAATGCTTAGGATTTTAGTAGAATTATCAACACTCAGGACCTGTATCTACTTACCTCAGTGTCTCCTCCGAAGAAAAACTGTAGTATCTTACATCAGTGTGCAGTTGATAGGAAATTTGCAGCATCTTTAGTGATTCATTTTGTATTCTGGGTGAAAACTAGCAGAGAACTTTGTTTCCGGTGCTTTGTCGCTTACTCTCATCACCCCTCATGACATTGGGCCACTGCTCCAAACACAATGGTCCTCAAGGAATACCACTGACTTCTGACTGAGAAAGACCAGAACTTTCCAACATGAGAAAGTGAAAATTCAAGCTCTTACCATTCAAGATGGTTTTCTACAAAGGCAGACATGGGGCTGATCTGCACGGTGTAGGTGTCGTTGGCAGAGTACTCGAAGAGTCCGTAGTAAGGGTTAAAGAGCTCCTGAGACAGAAGGAAGAAGAATTCTCTCGAAGGACCACTGTAATCCAGGCTGCAAAGGAAGCAGAGGCCCGGGAAGTTCATTACATGAGGGCGGTGGGGGACCTGTCTCTATGCGGGAGCTGGCTTGCCTTTTCAGAGTCAGTGCCAGGAAAGTAGAGGGCAGCCTCTGCTCTTTACAATGGATCCCAAGGGAAGTATAATTTGCTGAAGAAAATGAGGATGCAGTGATTGGTTTGAGGATGATGTTCTTAAACATTTATGGTAGTGTTCCTTAAACTTCTTCTTCAATTACATCACACCTATTGGATAAAACACACAGCTGGTCCTCAGCTGGACTTTGTCGTGGGAGACAGGAAAGAATTTCCTGGGATGGTGCATGTGTGCATGCGCATGAATTGAAAACACTTTCTGCTAAGTTCATCCTGCTATGCCCCCCTGGGTGGGCTTGCTCTCCACAGTTGAGATGGTTTGCTATGAAATCACTGAAATTACATGAAAAATTTGGTAAATAGTCATACATGTGTTTCCCTGGTGGCTCAGTCATTAAAAAAATCCGCCTGCAGTGCCGAAGACCTGGGTTTGACCCCTGGGTTGGGAAGATCCCCTGGAGCAGGAAATGGCAGCCCACTTTAAGATTCTTGCCTGGTAAATCCCCTGTTAGAGGAGCCTGGCAGGCTACAGTCCATGCGGCTGGCAAGACTTAGCAACTCAACCACACGTGTGCACGCCTGGGGAGAGAGCTCTTTGATCAGATACTCAGAGGGCTGGGGACACCAAGGGGATACCTTTCAGGGTATATGCTGGAAAAGTAAAGATCTAGTAGCTTGGTCTATACTTTGGGCTTATACTTTGACCATGTGACCTCAGATTCTAGAACACACCAATCATCTTAGGCTTTTGGAGAACATGAAGTTCAAACATTGGCAACACCTGGAGAGAAAGGCCTCCTGGGAGGATATGATCAGCACCACCTTGGGGCAAAAGCTTAAAGTCACCCTGCTCCTTGAGGAAAATCACCCAAGACCCAGGGGCTCTGGTCTACCCACACTGAGGTGTCTACAAGAAAGTTCTGGTGGCTCACCCCTCCTCTCCAACAAAGGTGATGTAGAGCTTGTTTCGCTGGAGCTCCTTCCGGGAATAGGCCATCACCTGGTTGAAGGTTCCCTCCAACAGGTGGTCTCGACGAATGATGAGCCTAGAAATGAGAAGCCATGTGGGTGGGTAGTTGGGGCTTGGGCTCCAGTGTTCGGGAGTGTCCTAGGTGAGGTGTGGGGGCCCAGGCTGACGGTCTTACTCCCCAGACTCTTCATCAAGGTACAGATTCCAGCAGTGCGACTATGGACTTACTCTGTCACTCTTTTGAAAATGATAAAATATCCAGGATAACATGTACTAGTTTATAATGGGACACATTCCATCCATATTATACTATTGTCAGGATATATATATATATATATATATATATATATATATATTTATCAATTCTAAAAAGAATCTCTTAAGCTGAATTCCTGAATTTGGGTTCAGCTTTTCAAGATGAAAATAGTAAACATATAGCGGGGAGAAACAACTTCTCACTTAGATCCCCAAATCAAAGCTTTTTGACTGGTGAGTAGTTAAAATTGTTCCAAAAATATGTAAAGGGAAACACAAGAATTTTTATTTAGTTCGAGATTCCTTGTTTTCTGAGAAGGCCTGCCATTGATTTTATACATGGTTTTGTCTGAAATCTACTGTTCTTCCTCTCTCTCCTTACCTTCTCTTCCTGCCCCCCTTCCAATTTCTTAACCTCTTTTCTTCTTTCCAACTTCCTAACTTTTTCTTTCCTCAATTCTATGACCATGACTGATGTCATACCATGGTATCTGATCTCCAGACAAATATTACCAAGTTATAGAGGAGAAAAGGATAGAAACATCTTCCAACTGAATTTGGTGCCAAGCTCAGTGGAGCTCAATTAAATCACTCACTTAATTTTCCCTGGACCCTGACCGAATCCTTTGGCTTCCAGTTTTCGGTAGAAATTGCGGAGCTTGGCCTCAAAGTCTCTCCTATAGGGTGAAGGGGCTCTTGCACTGGCTCTCTGTAAACCTGCAGAGAGAAGCACAAAGGCTGAAGGTCATCGCTTTTTACTGAAGAACAAATATGCAGAGAGCAATGGTAGTGGGAGGCCTAACCAGAGGCACAGTCCTAAGTCCTCGTATTTTTCTACTTCAAGAAGTTTCCCTATCACTCCCTCAGTCAGTTTGATAATAACCAGAAATAATATGATGCAGAGAAAAATAAATTCTGATGACAATAAATAGTTATATCTTCCACTCCATTTCAAATTGTATCTCTCTTCAAAATATCTAGATGAGCATATTTCTTGGCTTAATTGTACTTAAATATTCAAAAATGACATAAATGAAATTAGGCTCTTATAAGTTGCTGTAAGTGAATGTAACTACAATGGAGCAACCAAGATTGTAATATATGTGTATATTATACTTCTCCAACTATATTGACCTTGATACTTATATAAACATACCTGTCCACTAGAGCACAGATTATTTAGGGGTTTATATTAGATTATCATGTACCATAAAAGCAGAATTATTAAGAACATTATTATTAATAATAATTCCTTACTCTTTATAGAAGGAGCTTTTGTATTACTTAGAATGCTTTGTAAATGCTTTATTATCTTTATATACCTTTCAATGAAAAAAGGACTGGAAAAAATAACATTCTTTTCTAAGTTTCCCAGATGGCTAGGATCACAGTTTGCTCCTGCAACAACTAATGTTTAGTTTGTGTTTCAGATATTGAATTTATAATCTGGAGAAGACTTACACCATCAAACTCACAGAAATGAGAATATAATTACAGGTTGAGATGATTGCTACCCATGAAGGAAGAGAACTCAGTTCTCTGAGATCACAGGACACTCTAGTCAAGTTCAGGAAGGCTTCCCTGGGAAACATGTAAAGAGTAAGTAGGCATGAATTAGACTGAGTGAGTTAGGAAAGGCTTCTGTTTAGCTAAGAGAAGAGATGAGCTGGGAGAAGATTCCAGGTAGAGCACCAGTATGGGCAAAGGTACTGAGGCAGGATGGAAAGCGGTGCTCCAGTTTATGTGGAGACAGGGAGTGAGGACCAGAATGAGAAACAAAGCTTGGGAGGTAGGCAGGAGACAGGTCAAGTAGGATAAGGTATTCTCTTTTAAATGATTAAATGCTTTTGTTTAATGTTAAACACCACAGAAAGTTAGTGTGTGGGGGCCAAGATGATGTATCTGGAGTTACAGAAACCTCAGTCTTTCTGCAGTAGAGAGAGAAAACCAGAGAGGTCCAGAATGGATTCAGCCCACCTAAAGTGGACTAGGGTGGGGTCAGGGGAGATGAGAATAGAATAGATTGGAGATGTGTTTAGGAGGCAATGAACTGGATATAGGTAGTAAGTAAAGGTGAGTTTTAGACATTATAATGGAATGGACTTTGGTGACATTCACTGAGATGGGGACAAATGGAAGAAGCACAAACTTGGTCTTTGATGGTGGTACCTCTGAATATTTGATTGGAAAGAGACATAGTTTGAAAGAGAGGAGAATAAAACCTAGCACTGAGTCTTGAGGATGGTAGGAAGGGAAGGATGAGTCTGCAGAGGTGGCCAAAGACATAGATGAAATGCCTACTGTGGTGTCACAGAAGTCAACTGAAGAGGTGACTTATGAGAAGGAACCAAGCCACCACTTGAAGAGGACAGTGTCTTTGCTGAAATGCCAGGTTTCAGAATGTTGGTAAAACTAGAATACAAGTCTGCAGGTGCAAGTATAAGTTTCTTCTAGCAGATTTCAGTGTATTTTATAAGATGACTTTCTCACTGCTGGTACTACCACTATGCCCATGGTCACTACTATGCATTTCTTTAATAATTTATGCTTCATGAGGTGCTTTGGCATGCATGAGTCACTATCTCTGTTGCCTCGGGTAAAAGTCATAAAGGTCGAGAAATGTGGGAATCGTAAAATTTAGCATCAAATATTTGGATTACACACTCTAAGATCCTGTGATCAAAGCTAGGAGAGTAAAGAATTAAGGACTTTGATACATAAGTTGGATGATTGTTTGAGTTCATGGTATCAGTAAAGTCTGACACCAGACAGCTATTAGGAATGCTGATTCTTTAAAAAAAAAAAAACTCACCCAAATAATTCTCATTTAGCAAGTAACTCTTTATACTCCCTTAGTTTTTCTAGTTGCAAGATGGTATCTTCACCATGTAATGATGTCAAAACCATACTCTAGTGCTGGAAGTTTGGACCAAAGTGTAGACACGCTGGGGCTTCCCAGGTGGCTCTGTGGTAAAGAACCCACCTGCCAATGCAGGAGACCTAAGAGACATGGGTTTGATCCCTGGGTCAGGAAGATTCCCTGAAGGAGGGCATGGCAACCCACTTCAGTATTCTTGTCTAGAGAATCTCTTGGACAGAGGAATCTGGCTGGCTACAGTCCATGAGGTTGCAAAGTCAGACATGACTTAGAATGCATGCACATAGACACATTATCAGACTGGGACCAAACATCATGAAGACACACAAGTCCCCTAAATGGGAATGCTCTGCTCTCTAGAAGTAAGTCATCCCATGCACACCAGAAACAACTGATTGTGCTGATGCTAGCTCTGACAAAGCTCCCAGTCCTCCTTTTCCCAAGCATGTCATCTTAGTTATGTTGTATGTCAGAGGGAGCACTCATGGAACATTTCCTCAACAATGACACTGATACACTTGTGGAGGAAGGGATAACAAAGAGATACTGACTTAAAAACAGGTTTTAAGATTAGCAAAACTACCTCTGGGAGATAGTTCTGACTGACATGATGGGGGTACACCAAACAAAAAGCTATTCCAGTTTTAAGAACTGACTCCTTGGAAAAGACCCTGATGCTGGGAAAGATTGAAGGCAGAAGGAGAAGGGGACCACAGAGGACAAGATGGTTGGATGGCATCACCGACTCGATGGACATGAGTTTGAGTAAACTCTGGGTGTTGGTGATGGACAGGGAAGCCTGGCATGCTGCAGTCCATGGGGTCACAAAGAGTCAGACATGACTGAGAAACTGAACTGAACTGAGATATTCTAGACCTATGGCAGTATTGAGTGGCACCAGCTGAGTGAGACATCCCTTCTGGGGGACAGAGCATGTCGCTAAATTCGGTTTCTCTTCTCCATTTCCCCACTGGCTTCAAAAGCAAAGTTTGGAGTCTGACTCTAGAAGTTATGAGATAGGACATTACTAGAGTTTTCAAAACTAACTTCCTTTATGAAATTTTAAAGTTATAAAAATAAATGTGAGTTTACCACAAACATCCATGACAACATGACACTGCAAATCAAGACAGTAGGGAAAATTTTTCAATATCTGGATCTTGTTTGGGAGTATTAATTTGTCTTAAGTTAATTATCTTAATGAACCCAGGAAATAATAGCTTCTCTTTTCACTAAACAGTTCAATATACACTTCCTCATTTGGAATGGAAAATATCCACAAAGAGTATCATGAGTAAATTAATTCTAAGAAAACATCAGGGGAACGATTTCATATCATTTTTAAAAATTCTTAGACATCTTCATGGGGATATAAAGGTGGTCCCTAGTTAGTATGGAATCTAGCAACTCCTTTACAACTTAACAAAAAAAAAACCCCTCAAATTGGTAACTAATAACATACTGATTCATAAGGCAGAATGTCCTAGAAAGAGCTCTTCCCTTTTAAATGCTTTGAGAATATGCTTTAGAACAAAACAGCAATTTAGAGCAGAGGCCCACAGACTTTGTTGGTAAAGAGCCAGATAGCAAATATTTTAGATGTGGGGGTCCTATGGTATCTGTCACTACTATTCAGCTCTGCTGTTTGTAGCATGAAAGTTGCCGCAAAAAATATACAAACATTCATGTCAATGTATGGCAAAAGCCACCACAATACTGTAAAGTAGTTAGCCTCCAATTAAAATAAATAAATTAATTTAAATGAGAAAAAAATATATAAACAGGTGTCTCTGGGTTCCAGTAAATCTTACTGATAGACAATGAAACATGAATTTCATTATAATTTTCACATCATGAAATATTAGTTTCACAATAAATGTTTCCAAGTCATTTAAAAATGCAAAACATGTAATAGCTTGGGGGCATTACTAAAACAGGTGGCAATGTGTCAACACCCGACTTAAGTGTGCGTATGATCAGAAAATTGAGAGGAAATAAGGAAGAGAGGGCAGCTTCTTCCAGTGGGAACACAGGTCGCCACCAGCAGGAGACAGAGTGCCAGAACCTCAAGTTACCTGGGGAGTTCTGAGGTGAGGAGCAGGGTGAACAGCGGGGAGAGAAGCTGTACCCAGGGTGGAAGGCAGCCTGCAGGGGGACATAGGACATAATCTCTTCTTCAAAGAGACTGCAAAGTAAAAAAAAAAAAAATTAAGTTAGTTCTCTGTCCATGAGAGAATGTTCACGAATTAGTGTAAGAGCAATTACGATTCTCATGAGACAAAAGCACTTAGATTCACTTAGATGGGCACATCCTCACATGTAAACTCTCCCTATTGTTTTAAACCCTAATTAGTCAATTAGTCCTACAACAAGGTCTCCATCAAGGACCACATGTAGCTTGTGATACCCCAGTCGTACGTGTAAAGAAGGAAATGAACAGCAGGTGTAAGGGTGGGTGCCCTACTTCAGTCGCAGCCACTAGAATCTTCTAGAACAAACAATGGGTGTTTTAGTCCAGGCTGTCGTGGAGAACCGCCCAGAGCAGTTTCTCCAGTTGCTTTTCCAGAATTGTTTCAGGCTCAGCCCCTTACCTCAGCAAAATGACTAGATCTGCATCACAGGACAACTTTTCAAGCCCATGATTACCCTCAGTCCGAATGTAATGGATTTTCTCCCTAGGATAAATGTGGGAAAGAAAATAAGAATTACGCACTGACATAAAAGCTAAGGAATGCATCCCTTTCCAAACCCCTTACACCTTCAGTAGGGCTGAACAGTGATATTCTAGTGTCCAGAGTATTTTGAGATAGGTTAGGTTCGTATTATAGGTTCCCAGGATGCTCGTCTAGGAACTGTATTTCTCAGACTCACATGGGGACAGGAGCTGAGGAGCACAACACTGGTAGGTCCCGAGAGAGCCACACAGTTGGGAGTGGAGCTGGGAAGGGCCGCTGTGGGCTCATGGTGTTTTAGAAGCCATGGGAGGAAAGAGTGAGGGGACGTCTCTTGAGAAACCTTATGCCTGATGGAAAATGAATTAAGTCCATACTGAGTCCAGAGAAAGTCCAGCCCCAGAATATAGAAGAATCTCCCACATCAATCCAAGCACAGGCATCAATTTGTCTCTGTTTAATTACAACACATGCATTCTGACTTTTTTACAACCTTCAACTCCAATCTGGCAGTTGTTCCAATAAGTCTATAGATAAATAGGATTTTTCCTTTCAATTAAATAAACTTTGTAATGTGTTTTTCTAACATTCATATATTCAAAAATTTCAAACACTATGGCTAACAATCATCCCTTGTAATCATGCTTCAAAGAAGTTAGATGTTTTTTCTCTTTCTTGAAGAGATACAGCAGAAATCGGGAAGACTTAAGGATTGATATTTTATTAGTTTCACTTTTTTTGCTTAAATGTTTGAGATGCTTTTAGAGTCACATGTACTTGTAAGAAATTAATAAAGAGTGATCTGGTATACCTTTTAATCAGTTTCCTCTAATGGATGATTAAAAAAAGATTAATAAAAATACTGCAGATAAAACATTTTTCTCTCTCTGATTTTAATAATGTGAATCCAAATCTTCATCATAACTTGCTTGCTTTCAGGTAAAACTGTAATGAAATTGACCTTCTGGTGTGGGTATTTTTTAAGGAGACAAGAGAAACTTTTTGGTTTCGACAAAGATACATAAAATAGAATTAAACAGAGAAATGCACTGTGGTCCAACCTGTCAGTGTAGATAGAGTACCGTTGTGGTAAATGTTATTTCCAAAACCCAGGGGTACTCATAGTAGCTTCTTGGACAGGGGATTTGGAAATTGGACCAGGTGAAAGCCCAGCCGGGCTGTGAGAACCACACCTCCTCCAGCAGCTGCTTCTCCTTCTGTGTCTCCGTGTCCTTGATTTCATGTGCCTGAGTGCTGTCCTCAAATCCTGACGCCGCCTAACAGCCCTCTTGTCTGGAGGACTCTTGTGGACCCTGCTCCCCTGGCTTACTGACGTCAGTCCCATGAAGGACTGTCAAACTGATGTGTTCTCCCAATGGCAATGTCCCTGGGACAAGTCACTCTGCTGCCCCAAGGGACCCATATCTGGGTATGCCCCTGGTCTCTCTGCCTGGGGAAAATGGGAGAGAACATTTTAGGGGTCACTCTTTATTCCCAGGGTTCCTGGGGAAAAGAAGTCTGAAAAGAGTCAAGTCCATAAGGGCAGCAGGGTGCCCTCCTCAGCCAGGGGAAGTGGCACCCCCTGCAGTAGTCCTATCACTGCTCCCCACGCTCAAACCACATCCACATGTGAGTTTTCTGAGAGTTTTGGTGGCTCTTCAGGGGAAATGACATCCTCTGTCATGTTTGTGAAAATTTCAGGCAGACCTACTAGTCTAAGGGGCCTCCAAGTGCCCCTGGGTCCAGCCCAAAGGCACTGGGGCCTAGGTGTGGGGAGATCTCTGACGGTGAGAATGCCATCTGCCTCTCCTGCTTGCATCCCATCAAGAAAACTCCAGTGCAAAGCTCCCATCAGAGCTCTGGTCAGTAGAGCCACCTGCTTCTTTGACATCCTGACATCGTCATTTGTGGCCTCAAAACTCAATGTCTACAATGAAATCCTTGACACCCCTCCTTCATTATCTCTGAATTCTGATCATGTCCTCCGTGGCTCATAATACAATCTATAGCTATATATTTGGCTTAAAAATATCACAACTGTCTATCATTTGTCTTTCTCAATAGATTATAAAATCCCATGAGATCAATGTCTGTTTTGCTTCACTACTGGGTATGCAGCCCTAGCGCCATCCTGATTCAGAACACCTGCCCGATAAAAGCACTCGTTGAAGAAAGAATGAATGAATGAGGATGGCTATCATTGCATCTTCCCTCTTCCCGTGTGGTTTCCTTATGATTCACTTCTGTCTGCTGAACTCGGTTTTCTGAGAACTCATCCTCTATCATCTAACCCAGTGACTGGCTTTGTGAATCCAGGACAGTGGGTCCATGGCTCCCTGAGAATAGCAATGACCAAACAGGAATCATGGCCCCTCATGAGGACCACAGAGGAAGCAGTAAGTTCTTCCTTTGGTCAGAGTCATGGGGAGAGGAGGTTTTCCTTTTAACTCGTGGACCTTTAAAATCAAGTTAACTCGCCCTCACACCATAGCTAGGGGCAGGCAAAGGCCCAGTCACAGTGAGTTGCGACCCATTTTTTGGATCCTTGAAGCCTGACCCCGTGAAGAGCGGGCGCTTGCTCTTCTTTTGCCTTTTTGACTTCATGGCCAGTTTCTGATGTCACTTCGAATTTTCAGTTTTTCAGGAGCTATTTGGGTTTCCAATCTGGACTCTACAGGTCCTTCAGGGTCCATTAACTGTTTGAAATTATATGCAAAGATTCACATTTCTATGTTGGGAAGAGTCTATAAGAGCTTTCCTCAGAGCCTCAGAAGCATCCTCAACCTTAAGAAGGATATTATTTTCTACATTAATTTCCAAGCTTTTTCCAATTCCAACATTCCCTAATTTCATGTCCCCCATATCTGGAAAAGTGTAATTGTGCAATTCCACACTGCAACGGAACCTTCAAGGTTTCTTAGATTTTGTTATAATGTGACAAAATCATATTGTGTTTACTATATAAATGCTGAAACTCTTCACTTCCCTTGGGAAATATACTCCAGTCTTTATTTTCAAAGAGGATTGGTTTTATTGTTTTTAAAATGATTTAAATGGGAGTCTAGTGCCTTTGGGGAGCTCACATTTCTCCCAAAAGCAAGCAGCGAATTCCTTACTTAGTGGTAGAATCAGTAGGGTAAAAAATGTTCAAGAGCAGTGATGTATCAGGAAGTTTTCAGGTTACAATGCCTCTGAAAATCCCTTGGAAATTCTCTTAAATTATTATGTAGTGTGAGTCAGACACCAGCCCATGAATTGACCATATATGGCCCTGCCTTCCATGGCAGAGTAATAAAACTTGGGCAGAGTTGAAAATAAATGGAAGTCACACTCATTCAAGCTAAAGATCTTTAGTTCAGTCTGGAAGTGATCATTGTTTCCTATCTTCAAAGTAGAGGGCTAGGCTCTGACAGGAGAGTGGTACAAAGACAAAGAAGATATAGATCCTGCCCTAAGGAGCTTATGGTATTGTAGGCAGACATCAGTAGTGGTAGAATACAAGCGATAAAGGAAAAATATCTTAGAGGTACAAAAACAAATGCTAGTAAAGCAAGGCAAAATAAATGCTAAAGTCTGCCTAGATCACTGAATCTTTGCATTTGATTTGAGCCTTTAAAATGGGCTGAGATGCCCTTAAGAGAAAAGCTATTCTAGGAAGGGTGGGGGTAGGAGAAAATACAGGCCCTTTGAGGGAGGTGGAAGAGACCAGAGAAAGGAAAAACTAGCCCACGATGGAGAGTCAGATTGGAGCCTGACTTAGGGGACTATGGAAATTGTGCTTAGAAATTTTGACTTTACTATATACACAACAGGAACCATGAGAAGTTTTTGTTTTTTGGCATTGTTTTGTTTGTATTGAGTGATGAAAATGGAAGTATTTGTTAATGCATTTTGCAATTCTGGAGAGAAAAGATGTAGGAGTGTCTCAACACAGTTCATCTAGTTCTTTAATTGCAAAGAATTCCACTCTTATGAGAGGGCTTACATCTTGCCTTAGCATGACCTCTGGTATAAGAAAGGTTCTGTCAAACCAGTCCCTTTTTGGAAAAGGAGCTCAGAGTTTCACAAGAAATTGAAGTGCTCCCCACAAAGAATTCCCCCCAAGGGCCCCATGTAAATAAGCCAATTTTATTAGTTGATGCATTTTTCACAAGTTCTCAAACTATGCCCAGATTTCCACCCACTTCCCCATGAAACTAAGGTCTTATCGTAATGGGGAGGAAGAAAAAACTGCAGAAGATCTACACGGACAGCCTCTTTCAGTTGTATCTCAAACCCTCATGAAGTGGGCATGAGTCCCCAAATCACAAATCTGGCCTGAACTGCTCAGTGGCCTGGCTAGGGCAGCCACAGCAGGATTAGGAAAAAGGCAGGGCCGATCAGGGCCCAGCAAGGGTAAGGGGCAGCAGCCCAGCCTGAAACAAGATCCCTGCTGGCCCCCTCAATGACGGTAAGGATAGAGTCACTTATCCACCACTGCCCCTCCACCTGCTGTCATGCGGCATGTTTCCTTGAGGACTAGATTCCAGAGAGGCTTCCAATGAGACAGGCCTGGGACCTGGGTCCCTTTGTGGCTGTGCTGCAGTGCTTGCCCCTGGACATACCTCTCTTTGAGCAACAGAATAGAATGTAACTGTGTGGGACTAGAAATAACTGTGTGTGGGGGCAGTTGGTACAAATTCTGGACAAAAGATACAGAGGCCAAAAAACCCAGCTGCCACTTTTGAAGAGCCTGAAGCAAAAGTAGAGGGTCGGAAACAAAAGCTGGGCAACTGAGCATGCCCTCTGCACACAACACCAAATAAAGGGAGGTGCAAAACACCCAAACCACCCCTCTGGACTGACCCCTGGATACACCCTCCCCTCCCCCTACATAAGAAACCAGTTCACCATTCCCGCTCCCTTCACACCCAGTGGAGTGAGCAAGCAAGGCGACCTTTGGTTTCTTTTTGCTCCCCTCTGATGCAGCAGGTGCCAAGACGACCTTGCCTGAATTTCTTGTCTGGCCTCTAGTCAATTTCTATTGATTGGGGAAGGCCAAGAACTGGTGGCTAACACTGAGCTGCTCTGAGGTTCTCCAGAAGAATGCCCTTGTGGCAGCTAGCCCTAAGGAGACTCCATGGGAAACTTTACTGAAGGGCATGGGTGGTATGGGATCTAAGGGGGTAACGCTGTTTATAGTAGAGTGAAAGTGGGTATTTGCTAAGAGATTCGTGCAAGGTCCAGCAGAGAAATGGTGAAGATCCAAACACAGGCCATGCAGGGAGGAGAGAAAAGAAGGGTTGGGAGAAACTGAGGAGGTAAGGGTTTAGATGTGAAGCTGAAGAAAGAGGGAGGAGTTGAGATGGGCACTTGAGAGGATGGAGGCTCTAACTTATGTAGAGTGAAACCACAGGGAAAGTAGGTGTCAATGGGTGGTGATGGATAGGAAAGAACAATAAGTGATCCATCCTGGCAGGATTAATAAAGATTTGAATAGCAAAGAGGTTATTTTGAGGTGTTGGTGACTCATTGAGGAGGTCGAAATAGAGGATTACAGTTGTCCAGCAGAATCAAAAGACCACCAGACGGGAGCTGGAGTCAGCAGGAGTCACTAGCTGCCCCCCTGCCCGTGTTACCTGGTCCAGAGAAGCAGCTCAGTGGAGCCCACATTGTGATCTGGTTTCAGTGAAGAAGAGACTGAGGACAGAGGATTAAGTGATGCCTGCATCACTGGCACCTATGTGCTAGGGCAGGTTTTCAACTTGCAAGGGGACACAGTTAACCACTGTGCGTCTCTAGCTTTTGAAATGCTGGGTAGTAAACGGAAGGAGAGATATACTCTAATACCTCGGTGAGAATGTAGGATTTAACTTCAGAGGATAATTTTTTTTTTTTTTTATCACTTGGGGTGGTTTTCCCTTCCAAATGAAGTGATTCAGAGTTTCAGAGACACTCATTCAAAAACGACCCTAATGAACAATAAGATTTAAGTAGTTAAAACACTTAATGAAACTTTTTTGTTTGCTCGTTTATGAATATAGTCATCTAATATCAGTACACCTTTAAACAATTATATTCTTTAAATAAAGTAATTCATGCGGTGCTTTACATAAATAATCTTTGATGAAAGTTATTTTGTTCCTTTTCTGTGCTTCCCTCCAAATCAATGGAGACCATTTTAGCATCATGTGAATAATTGGTAAGCTGACATGATAGCTATCTCTGATTGCAATAGAACACCTGGATCCTTCATTGTAAGTATTTAGGTTATAATTTAAATGCACGAATAAAACACATCATAAGCGTCTGCCATCTCTCCACAGAGGTTGTTCCACCTGGAAAACCAGTGGGAGAGACCTGGAATTAGAGAGTGGTAGACAAGCCCCTACCTGAGTGTGTGGTTTCTTGCCAAGCTTGGCTGGCGCTCTTGCAGCATTTCAAAAATGTTTGGCTGGCGAAGAAATGCCACAATCTTGTCGTTATATGCTGAAACAGACAAAAGTGCAAGTTGTGGTTGAATCTCCAGCCCAGAGATGATTTCACTAATGATTGGAAAACGGCAGCTTGATACCAGGATTAATGGAGGAGAGTCTGAAGGGCAGGGAGCATACTCATCAAAATAATGTAAGCTCTTGGGCTTTTTTTTCTGTGACATAATAGCCTGGCTATTTTTAAATGATCAAACCCAAAGCGAACCAGATCTAAGTTAATTATCTTTAATATTGTAGGAATTTAACTTGGTGTTAACTCAACCCTCCCCCCCCCCCCACTAGGTGAACATATTAAAGAGAATAAAATAGGTCTTTCATGAGTGGAGTTATACTCCGTTCCTTCTAACTTCTCTTATAAAAAAAAAGTTATATGGCAAATTCAAAGAAATCCTTTACTGAGCACTTGCACTTATGACTTCTGCCATTGGTTGAATTTCCCAATAGGGATAATGAAAACATCCAAATCCATGTAGACTCTCTCACCATCTTGATATAAGTGTTTTGGAATGAGGTAGCTGAAGTTAGAAATGGAGCCTCTTCTAGCTTATCCTCATACACACACACGGGAATAGAGGTCTAAATTAGAAACTGCATCTAAAAGCAACCACATCCATCACCTTATCTAAACTATGCTATCCGGGGACCCAGCTAACAAACCACTGAATAGAATAAAGAGGGAGGGGAATGAGGGTCTGGAAGAGGGGAGAGAAAAAGAAGTGAAGAGAGAAGGACATAGTGGAGGAAGGAAAGGCAAGAGGTGCAAGAGGAAGATGGGAACCAGGGGTAGGGGAGTAGACAATACCAGAAAGGAAACACAGAGTCCTGAACAGTAAAGGAGTCACAATAAGGAAAACAAGGTGTTGGCTATCCAGGGGTTCACAAGTGTGATACATACCCAGCGGCAACGACTCATGTTGGTGCTGGCTTCGAATAGCAGCTACTAGGCTGTGTCCTGGCCTGGCCAGTAAAGAGGCTCCTCTGTTTCTAGAGACTTCGGAGGCCTAATTTCAAAATAAAATTGTAAGTGTTAAAAACCTCATCCATTTCGGATGATCTTTGGATACTAATTTTTCAAAATGAGTGGCAAAAAGGCCTTGACATAACCTAAATGAAAGGAGGAATGAAGCTATAATCCCAAAAGTGATGGAAAATTAGCATGTTCGAAAAAAATGTCTCAGTAGAATGGTTGGTGTTGTGGTTTTTAAGAAAGTGACTATGCCAAATGCCATGAATGTTCATCTCATTAATACATGCAATAGACTAAGAAATATTTATCATCAGAAATATGTTAAAGGGAATATTATCAGTAAAGTAGGTCTATGATCTTCATCTCTAAGAGGCAGCACTGAACTTCATAGCCAAATGTGGACTGGGCTGACTGTCTTAAACAGTGTTTATTATACTTGAAAGGCTATTCTTTGTTTAGCATCTTTTCTCCCATTCACTATACTGGTTACTCTTTACACAGTCTCATATCTTCACAAAATCTGGCAAGATAAGCATTATTAGCCCCAGTTTACAAATGGGGAATCTGAGGATCAGAGAAAATAAGTTTTTTTCCAAAATTTTTAACTGTAAGAGATAGAACCAGGATACTAACTAACACTTGACTGTCAAGAATTGTTTTTCACTTCCCCATACTACTAGCCTGCATCCAGTATTTTGGTTTGGGTTGGACATTTTGACAAAACTTCATGGGACACAGAATTTGCTTAGCTTAAAACTGATATTTGTGATGATTAACTTTAATTTAGCTTGATTTTAAATTTTTATAAATTCCCTAGGTTCTAGAGCATGACAATGAGTTTCTACCATGATTCCATATATATTTTGCTCCCGAAAGGACCCTTGCAGGGTAAGCTATTTGAATGGAGGCACCACAGATTTCCACACTGGAGTACATTCACCAGATATATGGCGATGAGTGTAGATGACTCACTCTATGTGACAAAGAAGTCAAAATAGGCTTTAAAATATTTAAGAATTTTGAAGATGACATTGGAAGATATTCATCAAGAGCTCAAATATCCAGACAAAAAGAAGTAAGAAAATTCTCCAAGACCAGAATTCACACACACAGAATTCAGGAGAGGTGATGAGCTCCTATGGCATAAACCCCGGAAAGGCCAGGTCCATCTAAAAGTGGTCACTTAAGATGAGGCCCTGTGTGATAATGCAGGTGGCAATCTTCAAGGCAGATTATGTAGGGCTTCCTAATTACAGAAATGGTAATTGCTGGTTTTCCTTTAGGTTCTACTTTCATATTTCACACAGACAAGAATAACATCTCTCAGATGAGATGTGCTACCAGTTCACTCTCTGTATGTGGCAGTCTTTGAGCTGCTCCTCTGGAATAAGGAAGGATGCAGATTCATCCTTTTCCTCTCCTGATCCTTCTTCTTGCCCTTGTGTCACTTAAGGGACAAGGGGAATAGATTTTGTGCCACTCGGGCTGACTTCTCACTTTGATGCCACCAGTACCCAGCTCTCTTCAGTGGGTGTAGCCAGCTACCGAGATTTAGATGCTGGAACTTCCATAACAGCACTTTCTGGTTAAACGGTTACAATGCAAAGTGATGAAAGAAAGATTTGCTGATGGCTGATATGCAATATTTAGTCTCATATTTCTCTCTTTCCATGAATTAATAAATATGTAAAGGCTTCCTGGGACTGAAATATCTCTTTTCCTTCCAGGGGGTTATGCCAGTCTGCTGTAATGTGTGTTGAAAATATTTGTGATACTATAAAGACAGGAATCTCAGAAACAGCTGAAGGCTATCTAAGAGATGAATTACAGAAAGAAATTGGGAAAACAGGGAGACCTGAGAATGGAACTCAAGAAGGCCTCGCTGTGCACTGAACTTTGCCTGGGGAAAAACAAGGCTTTGAAGCACGAAGAGGCTCACTTCTCTTCACGGGGGTCATAAGGAATTCATGTGTTGTAGAAATGCTTTAGGGAAAGATGGTTCTTGCTTTTAAGGTTACCTGCTTACTGCAAAACCAAGCCAGACTGAAAGACTGCAGAACCAGAGGAAGGTCAGCTACTCTGAAGGCAGATGACTGGCTGAGGGATATGTGTCACCATGACTATGAGTGAGATGAAGGAAACAATACTGGGGAGCGGTGAGGCTTGTGGAGTCCTGAGCCGTGGCAACATCGGCCGAGGATAAATGAGGTGACTGTAGAGTGGTACTGGATGGACTCCAGATGAGAGAACGGGAGGATGATAGTGTTAAATAGAAATGTGCTTCTTTAAATAGGGGCCAGAAATTTACAGGGATGGAAACAATTTCAGGCAGAGCTAAAAAAGACTCTAATATTCTAAGATTTCATAGAACTTGGTATGTGCTGGAATCCTTGTGGTTCAGTTGTTGTTCAGTTGCTAAGTTGTGTCTGACTCTTTGTGACCCCATGGACTGCAGCATGACCTAGGCTCTCCTGTCCTTTACTATCACTATTGCAAATGTGGCCCCAAAGTGGTAATAAATGGTCCATCGAGGGAAGCCTGCCACCAACTGAGTGACTAATGTGGATCTCACTGCAAACATGATGCTAACATTTGCTTTCCTAACTACTTAAAATACCTAAAAGAATGTATTTTCCATTTAAAACTAAGATTATATGACTCCCCGAAATTCCCAGAATTTTACACTTTTGGGCACTTTTTGGGTCACCGAGTTTCTCAGGTAGGGGTGCATGTGTGTGCACACAGAGAGGTACAGAAAGAGAGGGGGGAGGGGAGGAAGGGGGGAGGAAAGGAGGGGGAGGGGGGAAGGTGGGGAGGGAGGGGGAGAAGGAGAAAGAGGAGGGAGGAGAGAGACAGGGCCAGGGGAGGGAGGGAGAAGACAGCCCCATGCGATTGCTTTTTAGATTTCTTTTCCTTTTGATGTTGAGATAGCTTTAATCATAATTGCAAATACACAAACTTCAAACATTTAGCTCTCCAGACAAAACAGAATAGATATGCTCAGAAAATAGTTTCCAGCAACTGGAAAACAAGCTTCTCTTCTGTGTTACAATTTGGAAATGTAAACTGGTGTTTTTTAAAAATCTGTGATTGAAAACTGCAGGTTTTAGACTGAATTTGGGCTGGTCATCAGCTAATGCTGTCTCAAAAATGCTGGAGACCTGGTGATAAAAATTGCAAGTTCAGAGGAAAAGCCCAAGTGATGAATTTATGTTCATCTCTAGATTCTTTTCATATTCTAAAAGTAGATCATTAACAAAGTTTGCAGAACTATACAGAAATAAGAGCGATCTATGAGGTTTTTCAACATATTTCTAAAGGCAAAAAGTGGGCAACAAACATAATGTACAAGAAAAAGGTTTGAATTAAATTATGGCAATCCATAGAATAAAGTATAGAAGAATTTTAATGGCACGGAAACTATCTACAATGTGCTATAATGGTAAAGGAAGATACAGAAGCATAGACAATACAATTCAACTGTTTTACTTCATTGTGTACCAGGAATTTTCTCCAGATGGACAGCTATACCAGCCTTTTGATTTCTTTTCCATCTGTGCCTATATTTTCTATACTCATTAGATACCATTTTTAATTCAAAAATGTACTTTCATAGGTTATCTGAATTTTACAAACTTCCAAACAAAAACTTGTGATAGGTTACATGGAATCAAGAGGAAAATTCCCAATTTTAAGAAGCAGTGCAAAAGTTACCATCCCCAAAGGCCAGCTTCCTGCATGATGGCCTCTGTCATTAGAGTTGATACAGTGACTTTTGTCATAAAAGCAGCTCACTGCAAAGTATGATTCACAGTGACTTCTGCTTTGAGAGTGAAAAGTCAATTTCTCTTTTCTGTCAGACTCCTGTCCTTTACTTGAGGCAATTACTGTTAAGCATTTTCATATGTACCCTTCCAGAAATGTTCTATGACTAATGACTTCTCTTACTTGCCCAAGATAAGATGGTGAAAGAAACAAACATTATGTGGTCTTTACCCTTCCTTATTAATGGTAATTTACATTGCAAACTGCAGTATAAACAAGCAAAGCTGACCTCCAGTGATTTTCTTATTGATAGAAACATGGGATCTTGATCTGCTCTTTTCTACTTATCCATGTCCAATTCTGTCTGGACACTATGGAAGTGATAAAGCCTGTTTTGTTGGCCCTTAAATATATTGCAGATGGATGTGCCACTGTATTAAAATGCATGTGAAAGAGTCAAATCATGAGCTATACTCCAGTAAAAATTAATTTAAAAGAAGGCAAAGAATGATCTTTTTATGCATAGAATCCTATATTCCTCATATTAACTGCTTTCAGGAAACTGCCTCAACAATTTTCAGGTAAGGTAAAGGCTAAAAAGACATTGAGCAGTGCCTCTACTAATAACCTATTGTTGGGGTTTTGACAGGAATTTTTACCATCTAGGATCTTGACTTTGGAAACTGATTTTAATTCCATCCTTAAGTACAATGGATAAAAAAATCAACCCCTGAACAACACTCAAGAAATGGCTCATGAAGGTGAACAGAAAATATTTATTCCCAAAGCTGAGGTCTAAGAAACATCTAGAGTGAATTCCCTATTGCCCATCAGAGGTGACACAGAAAAATCATGGATTATGGAAATACTTCATTGATATTCCTAAGTCTCATCTTTCCATCTGCTTAGCTGTCATTTCTAATTGGCTTTCCTGCTGTTTCCATCCTCATCATCGACTTATATAAAGTTACACCTGCAAGCCTCCCCACCTGGCTTTCCTGCTCATCTTATCTGGGAGCCATTCATGGGACTGTGTGTCTAGCCTCACAGATGCTGAAAATCATAGAGCTGAAGAGGACTTTAGTGGCCATCCCAGTTCCCTTGTCTCTGTTTGCAGATGGGGAAACTGAGACCATGGAAAGGGAAGGAAGGTACAATGACCCACAGCACCTCTGCAGAGAGGCCAGAGATGGGACTTCAATCTGCTGACCCAAGTCTTAAGTCTCCCTCCTCCACACCCCCGACTTTCCTGAGGTTGTGCTGTTTCTTTGTCACCCCAACTTAGGGCCTCATCACCTATTTGGTCTGCGGCAGTGGCCTCTCATGGCCTTTCTCACATCCTCCTGTGCCACAATCCCATCTCTTCTTGGCTGTCACTGTCTCCTTTAAAAATAAGAGTTTATACTGGACTGGGAGTTGAGAAATCTGAACTGCAGTTCTGAACTCCCTGGGTGACTTGAGTTCTTGATACTTTAGTTTACTTTATTGTGAAATATGATCATTAACCAGAGTGGAATTACCATCTAGGAGTGTTTGGAGATGCTTAAGGGAGATGCTTCTCTGGTAGCTCAGCAGGTAAAGAATACACCTGCAATGTGGGAGACCTGGGTTCAGTCCCTGGGTTGGGAAGATCTTCTGGAGGAGGACATGGCAACCCATTCCACTATTCTTGTCTGGAGAATCCCATGTACAGAGGAGCCTGGTGGGCTATAGTCCATGGGGTCACAAAAAGTCGGACACGACTGAGCGACTAAGCACAAGGGTATTTTGGTTTTTGTTTCTGTTGTCATAGTAACTGACACTCCTGAAATTTAATGAATGGGACCAGGAGAAAAGATCCTGCAATGACAAGGAAGGATTCTACACTTCAGAGAACTGTCCCCCTAAATTGCTAATAATCTTCCCCTTTTGTGAAACAGTGGGTGAACTGATCTCTAAAAGCCCATTTTAATGTATAAATCATCATATTATTCTTCTCAAATTCATTCCAAGGACTTTTTATAAAAGTCCTAACTAACTCTTTCATGTGGCATTCAAAGCTTTCCAAATTTTGAAACAAAAACCAAGTGGAAACTTACTATTCTGGTCACACTGAACTATTTATTCCCTGTCTTTCTTAAGACCTTTCTCAACCCTATCTCGGCTCCTATCCTTCAGCTATGCTCTCTGTGGGGGCTGCTCTTTCTCTGCCTTTGTACTTGCTAGGTTTTACCAATTTCTCTAGGTCTAGGTCAAGCACCTTCTTTTAAAAGAAACCTTTTCTTGGCCTCCTTTGAACTTCTGTGGCATTTGTCCTAACATCTCTCTTGGCACTCAACCATACTTTAATTTCTTTTGTTACTTAACTCTGTGTATGTTTCTGGCCTGGCTTCAAAAATAGAATACACATTTCTCCAGGGCAGGGGTCCTATCTCACACATCTTTGCATTTCACAGTGCTCGTAGCAAACCCTGTACTTCATCAATATTTGTGAAACAAAATCATATTAGAGCAAATCCAAGGAACATTTCCACCACCCGCCTCTCTCTGTTTTTACAGAGGTCTTCCTGACTCCTCACACCCTAGGCTGGGTTCTCACAGTAGGAAGAACCAGGTATTTGCTTTCACAGAGGCCGAGTTCCTGTTTACCCTGGTGTGCTGCCTCTGGATCAGGTATTCTCTGCCTCCCAGCTTCCCTCCTGGTTTTCCCTTGTGTCGCTGCAAAGCTACCAGCAGAAAGAGGTTGGGCAGAGGGATGTCAGTGGCTTAAAAACCTGATGGACGGTCAACTGGAGAGTGAATGAATTAGGAAGTATACAGATGGCTGATGCCCTCTTCTCATCACGTTAGTCTATTTTGGCTGATGCAGATGGCACTTTGTTATTAACACTGATATTCTGTGTGACTGTGTTTGGGCTAGTCAATAACATTAAGGAAATGTTTTGGAACAGGTAAAGTGACGCTCATGATCTTAATCTTGTTCTTTCAACAGGAAGGTTTTAAAATGTATATTTTCAGGTTAACTTCATATACATGTAAAAGATTTATGTTTAGGAGTTTCATTGAGTAATTGACTGTTTTTTTTTTTAATTTGACCATGGTGAATCTGAATTTGGCAGTACTGAGCTTCTTTTATCATATGCTATGATGCTCTATGTTAATACTGAAATTTACCTTAATAATATTAAAGAGCTTGGACATTTAAAATAGATTAAAATGGCATATTCAAGTTGATGCAGAGTTCTGAATTTATCCATTATCATATCAAGACAATACATCTTATGATTTCTGAAGTGTTATAAAAGGGAGAGGGACTATATGTGCTGAGTTGAGAAGTCGGGGCACGGCTTTCTGTAGCCTATGAATGTGTCAACTGCTGAGTGCCTGGAATCTGGAGGGTCCTGACACCCACATAACCCCTGGAGAGTGTATAATGCTCCCTCGTGCATGGTCACATACACATTTTATGTATATGCAGTAAGAGTTAACATGCTTTCAATAGCACCCTGAAATGATACTTAAGATGACTCCATGAAAGAAAAATTCAATTTATTACACTGGCCTTAAACTGTGAGTGCCCCTGGTTAGAAATGGTTACATTTCTCAGTGTATACAGATGAGTGTCCTGAAGAACTAGTAAAGATTTTTTTTTTTTGTATACTAAGCTTTCATTAAAACAAGCTCTTCCCTTGAGACTTATGTTTGCTCTCTAGAGGCTGACAGGTGGATGGTTATTTTCTGCTTCTCCAGAGATGTCCACTGTGGCTCTCCCTCAAATGACTCTCTATGGGACCATATATATATTTCTTTCTTTCTACAGCAACTTTTTCCATTTTTTTTTAAAAATCTCATTATAATCTAACTCTACAAGCTGTTTTATTGGAAACGGTTCTCAGAGCCTGTATCATCTGAGATCCTGGTGGTTTCTATGAAAAGAAGGTATAGATACTTGGGAAATGTCAGGACATAAAAAAGAGATTTGCTCATATTGTCAATAGAAAAAAAAGCTTTGTTTTGAGTTTTGGTTCAAGAAGGGAGAACAGGAAAGGATATGGGATATAGAAAAAGGAATTCAGAAAGGCAAGGAACCTGATGCTTAAGAAAGGGGGCAGCCTTTCATGGCCCAGCAGAAGGTAATCAGTCATGTTGAGTGAAAGAACATATAAACCAGCGAAGGGCAGATGCTAGGGTGGGAACAGAGTATTCATGTGGCCCAGTTCATTTCCCCCAGTTTTCAGTCCATGAATGCATTACTGAAGTCTTGTCCAAAATCTAGGGAGAGGGAGAAATTTAAAAGCAGTTTTATGCTGCCTAGTAGTTCTACCACCATTTAAGAATTCACATGTGACCAGTGGGCTGAGGAAACACCATATCAGCCATAAGTATAGGGATGTCTTGATGCTGTATTTTCAGTTTTCTTTAAACTAGATGGATTTTTCAGTAACGTGACTGTGTAGGAAAAAAGGAAAGGCAGAAGGAAAGCAATCTGAGGATGGGTCCAGAACACGAAGTGGGTGCCTCGAGTCATCATCCTCCCTACTAAAGAGCATATGGATTTGGCCCAGCCCCTGGGGGAAAAGGCAACTCTAGATGCTGGCCCCACCAGGACAGGCTGACCCTGTGGTCCTGTGAAAGGTAGGGCAGGGGCAGAGGAGGTGTTACCTCTCCAGCACTGTAACTTCGGAGCCTCTGGAGATGCTGGCGGTGAGTCAGATGGTTGGGAAGACGACCGTTCTGAAGAGGGATTCGGGGGTCAATAAAAGTGGTAGCTCGACTGTTGTGGTCCACGAAGAAAGACTACAGACAGACCAGGAAAGAGCATACACGTGAGAACCAGCCAAGTGAAGTGAGTGATACCCAGGAGCACTCCAGGGCTCAGTCATCAAGTTTATGTTTGCCCCCTCCTTTTCATCCATGCCCCTCCTGTTCACCATATTTAATGCTTCGAATGAATAAATTATCCTTTTAGATATATCCTCTGTGATTTTAACACACAAATAATAATGACTTTGTCTCCCTTAGAGGGCTCTTTTATCTTTTACCTCCTTTTTTTGTAATACAAATGAGAACTTACAAAACAATGTTAAATAAGATAGGGAAGCTGAAATATTCTTGTTCTTTATTTTGATAGGTAAACTACTAGAGTCCAGTTGTAAAGTGTAATGTGGTTCATTACATCAAAGAGTCTTTATTATGTCATGAAAACATTTCCCTTCCTACTTTACTATGTTTTATTTTAAAAATCTAAATGTGTATTTATTATTCATCAAGTACTTTTTGAGCATTTCTTAAAATGATCACCTGTAATTCCTCCTATAAACTATTGTTTAAAATACTAGAGATACTAGATTTACTAGTAGTAAATGACTCATACATCTTTGGGAGAAAAATCTATTTAATTGTGCTTGGTCATTCTTTTATATTATGTCAAATTCAACTTCATTTCTAATATAAACTTTTTGGAACTCTACTTGTAATTATCTGTGTATGTTTAGTTTTATGCAATTTAATAATGTGCAGGTTCACGTATCCATCACCACAGTCAGAATACTAAAGAATTCATTTGAATCAGTTCTAATGAGATGGATGAAACTGGAGCCCATTATACAGAGCGAAGTAAGCCAGAAAGATAAAGACCATTACAGTATACTAACACATATATATGGAATTTAAAAAGATGGTAACGATAACCCTATATGCAAAACAGAAAAAGAGACCCAGGTGTATAGAACAGACTTGTGGACTCTGGGAGAAGGCGAGGGTGGGATGTTTCAAGAGAACAGCATCGAAACATGTATATTATCTAGGGTGAAACAGATCACCAGCCCAGGTTGGGTGCATGAGACAAGTGCTTGGGCCTGGTGCACTGGGAAGACCCAGAGGGATCGGGTGGAGAGGGAGGTGGGAGGGGGGACCGGGATGGGGAATACATGTAAATCCATGGCTAATTCATTTCAATGTATGACAAAAACCATTGTAATGATGTAATTAGCCTCCAACTAATAAAAATAAATGGAAAAAAAAAAAAATAAACAGTTCAGTCACTGTAAAGACCCTTCATGGTCCTTAAAAAAAGAAATTCAAGAATGCTATATAAATGGAATCATATAGTATATAATCTTTTGAGATTGACTTTTTTCACTCAATATAATTTCCTTGTGATTCATCCAATTTGTTACATGTATCAGCAGTTCATTCTTTTTTTTTACATTGCTGGTTAGTTTTCTATGGTACAGATGTACTAAATTTCTGACAATAGTTTTTGCTTTTTGTCCAGTTTCATTGGCAAAGTTAAAATGGCTTCATAAAATGAATGATTTCCATTTATTCCTATGTTCCAGAGTAGAACACAAAGTTATCTGGGACTGGATAATGCATTCACTGATACATTTTCCTAATTATTCTGTAAGTCCATTAAATTTTTTGTATTTACCCAGTCAAATTACTCATTTCTTCTAAATTTTCTGTGGTATTATTTATTTAATTATATACATATCTTCTTTTTTCCTTTCAAAAATTTTCCTGCACCTGTTAAACTTCACTTCTTGATTTTATTTACTATTTTCCTGCAGTTCAGTTCAGTTGCTTAGTCGTGTCCAACTCTTTGTGACCCCATGGACTGCAGCACGCCAGGCTTCCCTGTCCATCACCAACTCCAGAAGCTTGTTCAAACTCATGCCCATTGAGTCGGTGATGCCATCCAACCATCTCATTCTCTGTTGTCCCCTTCTCCTCCTGCCTTCAATCTTTCCCAGCATCAGGGTCTTTTCCAATGAGTCAGTTCTTTGTATTAGGTGGTCAGAGTATTGGCGTTTCAGCTTCAGCATCAGTCCTTTCAATGAATATTCAGGACTGATTTCCTTTAGGATTGAATGATTGGATCTCTTTGCTGTAGGGGACTCTCAAGAGTCTTCTCCACAGTTCAAAAACATCAATTCTTCGGCGCCTAGCTTTCTTTATGGTCCAACTCTCACATCCATAGGAAAAACCATAGTTTGACTAGACAGACCTTTGTTGGCAAAGTAATGTCTCTGCTTCTTAACATGCTGTCTAGGTTTGTCCTAGCTTTTCTTCCAAGGAGCAAGCATCTTTTAATCTCATGGCTGCAGTCACCACCTGCAGTGATTTTGGAGCCCAAGAAAATAAAATCTGTCACTGTTTCCATTGTTTCCCCATCTATTTAAAAATGAAAAATTTCCCTTAGTTTAATTTATTTCTCTTCTAGAACAACTCTTACATTATTTTCTAATTCATGCACTTTTATTATTTTAAAATAAATAATAAATACACTTCTGCTTTATTACTGCTGCTTTTTTATCTTCTCTAAGCTATTGATTTGAAAACTTTTTTTTATATTTATTTTTCTTGTTTGATAATACAAACCAGTGCTGCTAATCCTCTGAATATAGCCTCTCTGAATTCCATGTTTTATTAAGTATCACTCACTTGCATTTTCAATAATTTCTTAATGATTTATAAGGCTTAATTTTATTTAAAATCCAACAGTCTCACAGAGTATTGTTTTGAATTTTCAAATAGCAAAGATTTTGTTTTTAATGGTTGCTTTTAAACTCATTATTTAAAATTCGGCTTTATTGTCTGTGGCCATGGAATTTGAGTATTTTCTGCTTTTTTGCTTTCTTTGTGTTATAGAATGTTATCACTTAGAAAAATAGTCCATATGCTCTTGAAAAGGAGTTATAAGATCCACTTTTTTTTTTAAATTGAGTTTATTTCCAAGTATTTTATTCTTTTTGTTATGAGTTTAGATGGGATTAATTTTTTTGCTTTCTCTTTCTAATAGTGCACAGAAAAGCAACATATTCTACATATTAATCTTAATATCCTAAAAATTTACTCAATTCACTTATTAGTTCTAATAGATGTTTGGTAGAGACTTTAGAGCTTTCTATATATACTATCATACCACCAGCAAACAGTGAGTTCTACTTTATTTTCTTCCAATTTTTGATGTTTTTAAATTTCTTTTTCTTATCTGATTGTGGTGGCTAGAACTTATAAGACTATTGTAAATAGAAGTGGCAAGAGTGGGCATCTTGGTGTGTTGTTTCTGGTCTTAGAGGAAAATCTTTCAGCTCTTTATCACTGAGCATGATGTTGGCTATGGGTTTGTCATAAATGGCCTTTATTATGTTGGGATATGTTCCCTCTACACCAACTCTGATAAGAGTTTTTATCAGAAATGGATTTTTAAAAGACTTGACAAAAAGATTTTGTCAAGTTCTTTCTCTGCATCTATTGAAATGATCATGTGCTTTTTTTCCTTCCTTTTGTTAATACGGTGTATCACATTGATGATTTGTGGATGTTCAATCATCCTTGCATTTTCTGGAATGTATCTCCCTTGATCATGGTATATGATCCTTTTAAGCTATTGTTGAAATTTATTTGTTAATATTTTATTGAGCATTTTAATCTAAATTCATCAGAGATACTGGCCTGTAATTTTCTTTCTTTTTTTTTTGTAGTGTCTTTGGTCTTGGTATCAGGGTAATGGTAACCTTACAGAATGAATTTGGGAGTATTCTTGCCTCTTCAAATTTTTAGATTAAAATACCTAGGAATAAACTTAATCAAGGAAGTGAAAGGCCTATAACTCTGAAAACTATAAAACACTGAAGGAGGAAATTGAAGATGATACAAAGAAATGAAAAGATATCCCATGTTCATGGATTGGAAGAATTAATATTGTTAAAATTTCCATACTACTCAAAGCAATATACTGAGTCAATACAATCTCTTTCAAAATACCCATGACATTTTCCCCATAACTAGAATAAATAATTCTAAAATGTATGTGGAACAAAAAAAGACTCAGAGTTGCCAAAACAATCTTGAAAAAGGAACAAAGGTTTCCAAGCTCCCTGACTTCAGACTGTTCTACAAGCTACTCAAAACAGCATGGCAGTGGCACAAAAACAGACACACAGATCAATGGAACCGAAGTAAGAGCTCAGAAATGGACTCATGCACTTATGGTCAATTATTTATGACAAAGAAGACAAGAATATACAATGGAGAGGAAAGATAGTCTTTTCAATAAATGATGCTAGGAAAACTGGATCAGCTCAGTTCAGTCGCTCAGTTGTGTCCGACTCTTTGCAACCCCATGAATCGCAGCACGCCAGGCCTCCCTGTCCATCACCAACTCCTGGAGTCCACTCAAACTCATGTCCATCAAGTCAGTGGTGCCATCCAGCCATCTCATCCTCTGTCGTCCCCTTCTCCTCCTGCCCCCAATCCCTCCCAGGATCAGGGTCTTTTCCAATGAGTCAACTCTTCGCATGAGGTGGCCAAAGTAATGGAGTTTCAGCTTCAGCATCAGTCCTTCCAGTGAACATCCAGGACTGATCTCCTTTAGGATGGACTGGTTGGATCTCCTTGCAGTCCAAGGGACTCTCAAGAGTCTTCTCCAACACCACAGTTCAAAAGCATCAATTCTTCACTCAGCTTTCTTCACAGTCCAACTCTCACATCCATACATGACCACTGGAAAAACCATAGCCTTGACTAGATGGACCTTTGTTGACAAAGTAATGCCTCTGCTTTTTAATATGCTATCTTGGTTGATCATAACTTTCCTTCCAAGGAGTAAGCATCTTTTAATTTCATGGCTGCAGTCATCTGCAGTGATTTTGGAGCCCCAAAAAATAAAGTCTGACATTGTTTCCCCATCTAGTTGCCATGAAGTCATGAGACCAGATGCCATGATCTTAGTTTTCTGAATGTTGAGCTTTAAGTCAACTTTTTCACTCTCCTCTTTCACTTTCATCAAG